AATTGTGGTGTTCTTTACAATTTGACCAGTAATGGTGGTACATATTCTATATCTGTATGTACATAAATAATCATTGCATACAGTTCAATCAAATGAAATATTAGATGATATATCTTTCATATTTGAAATGGTTATTTTTTATTGTTGTTTCCTCCTTAAACTCAAAAACCATCAACATAAATAACAGATAAAGTACCAGCTTTTTATGGGGAAAAAAAATATGTATATTCACAAAAAAAAAATTTGGTTTTAACTTTTACAAAACCGCAATGCGGTGGAAATTGTGCAAATTTATGTCTAATAAACATTTGGCATCGCTACAATTGTCCGCATAATTTGTTAGATACTAAAAAAAAATTTAAGATTTATTAAAAACTCACCACATTTACTTGCTCAAAAGTAACCAAAATCAAAATTAATGTAGTTTGGTTTTCTTTCTTATTTATTTATTTTTCGATTTAAACATGTGTAAACTGCTTTTAGTCATCAACTGACTTTTGATTTCTTCTAAAATGTGTATTTTTGTCNTCTTGTTTTTTCGTTTCATGCTGGGATTTACATATATCAAAATCATTATTTTTATAATCATTATTTTTTTACGCTTAACTCTAACGTAAGTAGACTGTTATTTAACACATATGTATGTATGTATGTATGCTCTTGTTTTGCGCACAAATTCTAACTATCAAATGCAGATATGTAAAACGTACATACAAATATTTGCATTAATGTGTTCGTCAAATTTTGTTGAGGTCAATTTTTGATAAATATTGTGAACTGCCTGAAAACAGGTTTGTGGCCTTGTTTATTATTTTCATTTTCCGTTATTTCCGTTTATATCGTATGTATGTTTTTGCATTTTTGTATAAATGATTTTTGTATGCTACGCGTTTATACTGATTCCCCCCTCGTTATTCCCACGTAATAATTTCTCTGATTTGTTTTAATTAAAATGTGCATTCCACTTTCTTACGATCGGCGGCGAACTTCAGTGTAAATCAACACTTTATGTATCTATAAGTTTTGCTAATATTCTTGTTTTGTATTGTTTTTTGTTAACATAAACATTCCATTTTTAAGCAAAATGTTGATCGCATAGCCACCAACCAACCAAAAATGGATACTTAACTCTTGTGTTCTTTCAAATTTATAGTAAATAAATAGTTTGTTAATAAATATTAGTTAGCGCTTTTAGCCTACTCCGTTTTACCCATTCTCAAGTGAAACTTATTTATTAAAATATAATATGTATACATATTAAAAAATTAACAATAACAATAAATTTTTGATCGACTTTCATCTGAAAAGTTGATTTAACTTTTTTTGATAAACGAAATCTGTCTGATATGTTTAATTATTAATTAGTGAAATAATCAATTTACAATTCGAATTCAAATACACATTTTTGTTGTAAAAGATTTGAATTCAAGAAATGTGGTAAGGAAGCACGAGTGAAAAATAAAATGAAAACTCACATAAAACAAAGTTTTTTTTTTTAATGCCGTGGCATGAATACAGAATCCGGCCGATTCCTTTGATCTCAAAAATATTGTGATCAACAGCGTATTTTTACTAACTTCTGCATTCATAAAAAAAAAAAAAAAGCTTTTAATGTTTAGTTTTTTTACTGTTCTTTTTTTAATTGAAAACAAAAATAGTCAATATAAATAAAAATATGTAGTATTGCAAATATGAACAAAAATATATACATATGTATGTATAAGACAGCAGAACAAAATATATGCACTTTGCATGGGTATACATATGTATGTATGCGTGTAGTTACTACATAATGTAATATACGTATATATGTTAATACATTCTATTGTATATGTTGTAAGTCCAAATGTAAAAGTTGGCGTCCAATTCAGAAGTTCTACAGCAAATTTCGTCAGTTTGCTTTTTTGATTGCTTCTGTGTGCTTTAGGATAGAAGAGTGTACATAGATTTTTCTACAGAGAAAATTCATTTATAAATATTTATAAAAAAAAAACAACAATTATTCTTGCATTCGCTGCAGTCAATTTAACGCCATTTTTGGACTGTATTTACGGCCTTTCATTGTCTACTTCTGCTTAAAACTCGGTGCTAAATTCTCGATGTAGATAGTTTTGCTTCCTTTTCTTATTCTTCACTTATTTTTATTGATTGATGCTCTTTTGTTCGTTGCACTGGCCTCCTGTTGTTTGCTGCTTGTCCGCTTGGTCGTCTAGATCGGCCGTGTGAAGTTAGCAGGGAATAAACCTTTCTCGTCCGTACCCTCCTTCTGGCCCATCAACCAGCCTTCCTCCTGCAAATTTGAAATGAAAAACTACGCTTAATAAAGTCACGGAACATAGTCGGTGAAGATGTGAAAGGCAAGCACATAAAGGGACGGAAGGGAAATTATGCAAAAAGGGAATACTTATCAAATTTTCTCAAATACAACTTCGCCTTCACACGAAAACATGAATTTCTAGAATGACCCACTGGGAAAATAGGTAAGCACCTTGCGAGGTAAGCCATGTTTTCTTTCAGTTTTTAGTACCAAAATTGTCATCATGGCCAATGTCATCTACTAGTAAAGGGCAAAATGAACACCTCCGAAGACACATTACGCTGTCAGTTGCAAAATAACGTGCAGCCGAAGTTATTTCCAAGCACCGAACTACTCCGAGCGACTGCTCTGCATTACACGTAACTTACTTTGTAAAGCGGCTCAGAAGTATGTCTGATACCAAATGTACATTCTAAATTCCTACTTACATAAGGCGGCCATGCCTTTGTAAAAGTAAGGGACGTTCGGCAGGGAAATGGTAATGACTGCCAGGTGAAGAGTAAGTTGCTAATAAGGTATTATTACGTGCTTCTAATTCCCACTGGAGAGGTTCGAAGGTGAGTGGGATGCGAAAAATTTCAACACACGTACAATTTCATAAATTTTGAGTCAGACAAATATATAGATTTGCGTGGATTCATAAGCGGCAGGTTCTTTTGGCATAAGAATAACACTTTGCAACTTTTTGAGTTACTTAGTGAGAATTTCGGGATATTAGAAGAATTTTAAGCACAGTTTTGTAGATTGCTCGAACAGATCTACGACCTGTGCGAGGTCACTTAAAAAGTTCCTGCAATTTTCTGAATTTTGTAATTAAAACATTCACGCTGGCAGAGCAGATGTCAATCTACCAAGCAAGCCTTCGCAAATTGTTAGTCACAAATTTCACATTTTCATATTTACCTGATCCTCCGGATCGTCATACTCAATAACTCGTATAATATCGCCAACTTCGAAGCTTAATTCGTCGACGTCCTCCTTCACATAGCCATAGGTCGCCTTGACACGGTAAAGCACACCTGCTGGCAAATCCGAAGTGGTGGCGTCTGTGAAATATAATGAATTTAAGAGAATATTGTTAAAAAAGCTCTTTATATATTTGTATACTTGGATAAATTTTCGCACTACCAGTGTATTCAAAGGAAATTTTCGTTTCGAAAAATAGTTTGCCACGTAGTAGGAGGTATACACACTCTCTCTCTCTGAATGTTTATTTGCGCTTTAAATCAAAGCGTAACTAAACTAGCCATAAACGAAAATCTTCCTTGCCATACACTTTCGTAGATGAAGCGCACATTTAGCACAGAAAAGGGGTTAGAGAAGAGTAAGCATTGACCGCGAATCCAAATTCAGCTCACAGCTCTGCGTTGGTTAATTATTATTAATACGGTTCCTTGCCTTTACTATTTTGTTATAACATTGCAGCAGCAGCTACGGTTAGCCCAACCAATTTCAAAAAAAAAAATATATATATAAAAAATGCAAAGCCTTTAACGCGGCGCTTGGTTAGATTTACGTTGGTGTTAATAAGAAATTTCAAAAGGAAAACATTACAATTGTAAGACAACGAATTTTCGAAAAAGAAAAAACTTCGAAAACACTGTTTAGCTTTGTTAGGTTTGTTGGCGGCAAAAATCGAAAGACTTGAGCAACGAACGTGCATTTCCATCGCTGTTACAGATAACATGCAACGAACTGCATTTGTTTGTATACCTTGCGTGTTAAATAATGCAAAAAAACAAAAAAAAACAATAATGAATTAAAATCGGTATTGATGGATACAGTGTGTTGGCTGTGATTCCATTTATTGTGAAATCGAGTTTTTTTGTGAAGTTGTATGAAACACTCGCGAATACAGCCTTTGAAATTGTGCGTGCGTGTGTGTGTGTGGGTTTAAGTGTTTAAAACCGAACTTTTGTACTAACGGGTGATTTTTTTGAGGTTAGGATTTTCATGCATTA